CGCCCGCCCCCCCCCCCGCCCGCCCCCCCCCCACCCCTCCCCACCGGGAGATGAGGGGCGGTGGAGACCCGCGGGTCGGAAGCAGCGCCGGCGGGGAAGGCGCCTGCCTGGCCCCGCGCCCCCTCCAGCCAGCCCATTCCCCCATCGTAGCCCTCGCCCCTCTGGCCTCTCCCGTTGGATTGCAGCTCCCATCCTCCCCAGCCAGGGCCGAATGGCGTGCGGCCGGCTCGCTGGCGCCGCGTCGCCCGGGCGGGATTGCGCGCTCGTTGCGCCCCTGCTTTTCGCTTACCGGGGAGGGGGAACAAAAAGCAGCTTCGGCTGCGTTGGCGCCCCGCGCCTAACCCCCGGCTAACCTCATCATGGCTGACGCGGTTAACTCAGCTGCCCGGCGGTGCCTGACTTACTGAAGCTTAAAGACACGGGTCGGAGTCAGACAACCCGTGAGAGGGACGCCTGGCTTGGATATGTGTGGTTTGGGGAACCCTGCGGCGCAGGAAAAACCCCATATTCTCCTTGGCAAGAAGGGCTGCCGCCTTCTTCCCAGCTTGGTGGGGCGGGGGGCTTCAAAGGCCAGCCTCTTCAGCCCTCAGATGCCTCTTTCTCCACCTCTTCTGCAGAGGAGAAGCCCCATCTCTACCCTCTTCCCAAGCAGGGAAGTCAAATTCTTCTCCCCCAAAGAGGAGCAAAGGCCGATCCGCTGCAGTTAAGCCACTTAATTTGATGGTATATTTTATTCATGGATTTTTTAGGCCACCAATTTCTTTAAGGTGTATTGTAACAACTTCACCCATGGGGATGTTACCCAATAGGTTGTACTTTAAGCTACCTAAGCAGGCTGGATTCATACAAGATGCCCAGCCCCAGAAGTCCTAACCCAGATTAACCTGAGGCACCATGTTTTACATCATGAGAATCTCTTTTGCTGGACTCCTCGTTATCCCGATTAAGATGGTTGTGTTCCTGTAGTCTGTCAACCATAGGCCATAATTTGCAAATGCAAGGTCCCAGCTTTGATTGGGGTAGAGCTTGGAAAAACTCCTGTCCATCTGAAACTCGAGAGCAGCTCCATGTTGGGTGTAGTTTGAATGTTTATGAAAAACATAAACTTGTGGAAGGTTGGATGATGATATTAACATTTTTTTTAATGTTTCTCAGCTGGGCCACTAATGAATTAGCAACTGAACCTAAGAAATGCAACTCCAACATTCATTATTGCATTGAAGGTTTCAAGATTTGCTCCTTCCCAACCCAGCCTCCTTCACCAAATTCTACTAAGAATTGTACTCATGATACATTCCTGGCTTCTAAGGCCCCTCCCCAGGATTCTCAATGCTTTAGAATCTTACTAACCCTAACCTGAAGTTTGTCAAGTCCATAATTCATGTTTGGGGATTTGAAGGAATGAAGATCTGCTCCAGATCGAGCAGTTTGGCAAATTACATGGGTTAATAGAGAAAAGATGCTCATTTGAGATGGTGAAACTCTTAGACAGAGGGAAGTGTAGTAGCGAGACAGATGCAGTTCTGAACTCAGCTGCTGCCAAAGGGGATTCTGGTTTGTTTTCCTGCCCTATGGAAACTAGGGGCTTCCTTTCTCAAAGTCATCAGGTTCCTACTCTCCAAGCCTGCAGTACTGTACAGTTGTCTGGTGACAGATCTTCAGAGCAGCAATGTGGTCCTTTTCCAAACAAATAATCCAAATGACGAATGTAGGTTGTTTTTGGCTGCTGTCCTGGGATTTCGTAGGAAATCTGTGGGGAATTCTGGGAAGACAGGAGAGTTTGAAAAATTTGAAATCGTTCAGAAAGATGGTGGAATGATGAGTCTTTGATCAGTCAGGGTCTGGACAGGATCTTGCCAAAGACTCAGATTTCTTGTTCCCTCCTTCTTCCCTGTTGTAACTGCCTGGCTGGAAAATAGTTTTCGTGGAACTAAATATCTCCTGAACAAATGGTTTCCTAAAATAGTCCTTTTGTCCTTGCTAGTTCAGAGTTCAGCTGGTGTGGTAGGGCCAGCCTAGGAAGTGTTGGTGCCTGGGGCAGACAAGGAGGCCTTCTCCCCAACTCCATGCACAGCGGTTGGTTGGGTGCCAGTTTACTGGAGATGAAGCGGCATCGTCCAGCCACTTAAAGTCAGAAGACCAGTTTAGATAGCATTGAACCTGCAGTTCCATCTTCTTGAAAATATGGGCTGTCTGAGTCTGTCGTCTCACTCCAAGGCTTCAGGGAAAAATAAAAGCTGACCTGAGGACCAGATTGACCTTGGGTACCTTCTCGGGAGAGCTGGAGGATATTGGTGGTCTCTTGCTTCTGGCTGGAGACGCTCCATAAAGGCCGCCCAAACTGGAATCCACTTTGCGGTTTTTATGAACGGATCTGGTGTAAATAATTTTAATAATCTGTGCTTTTTTAACTTGAATAATCTGTTTTTTATTTCAATTTAAAATGAATCTGAATAATTTTAGTAATCTTTTTTTTAACCATGTTTTTTTAACCACTTTTTCCTTTTTTTCAACATGTGACAAGCTGATGCACGGTGTTCTGATGACTGAAAGCTGCCTTAGGTGGCATACATAGTGGTCCCTCCTTTTTTTCCCCACAACAACCCTGTGTGGTAGGTTAGCCTGAAAGGGTAGGGTATGAGTGGCTTCACCCAGGGAGCTTCTGTAGCTCAGGGTGGGCTAGAATCTGAGCCTCCCTGGTGCCAGTCCAGTACCATTGTGGCTGTTATGTTGTGTATTAGTACAACAAAAACATTGAAGATATAAAAGGAATGATTAAAAAAAAACCCGGTAGTATAGAAGTACAATTTGAAAGTATATAGGGATGACTAAAATTATTGTGCCCCTCAAGATCACAAATGTCTCTAGGTAGTCACGCAGACCTGAAATCTCTTCTTTTTATGATGTGAGAAGATTTATTTGACATACCTACCAATTTCAGTGAGGTTTCAGGCATGATTTCCAAGATATTTTCCCAGGTAATCATATCTAGATTAAGCTGTATCTGTTTGCAGTGTATGAATGAACAGCGTATGATTTGTTAGGATGGCCAATCTCCCCCCCTGCCCCCAACTGCTATAATAGCTTACACTTATCAGTCTTTATCTGCTTCAGTCCTTATCACATTTGCCATGAATATAACTGGAATAGCATCCCCTTGCTTCGCTAAAGGGGAACACCCTGAAACCATATGAAGCCTAAGTCTGAGACAATATTGGAATCCTACTTCAGCCTAAGCATATTTCCTGCTTAGGGTTCACCTTCAGAACTGGCATTTTGTTGGAGTCCTCATTCTTTCTTCCTGTGTTTTTGGTCTTAGTCAAAAGAACCTGGGGGTTCTGGAGGTAGAAGAGAGACCTTCCAGTTGGGTTTGGTGAGGAGGCACAATATTAGGAATTAGACTGGAAGAAGGCAGCCTATTGCCCATCTGATGTTCTGAATTGTCTTGATGGCATGTGTGATTGCCTTTGAAGGCCATCTTCTGGGAGACTAGTAGGCTTCCTTGGGCCATTGGTTAGTCATTGTGAGAACAAACTGCTGGACTAGATGGGCCAGGGATCCAGTTCAGCAGGACATTGCTTATGTTCTTATGAACTCCAGCCAACAGATCAGTGGCAAGAGGTTGTGAGAGTTCCTGTCGAAAATATCTACAGGATTTAGACTATAGAGTGGAGGGCTTCAAGCAAGGAAGTGTTGCAACCAAACTGTCATTCCGCCTTCAGATTCACTATCTGCCATACAGCCATGGTTCAGACAACACACTAAATGATAATATAGCTTGTTTGGTTTGGGCTTTAGCAAATTGTGTAAACTCCCGTGTGGTGGTTGGCTGTCCTTATTTTATGGTTTGGCCTATTGCATGGCCCCAACTGGTTGTGTGATTTATTCAGCAAACTATGGGTAAACAAATAATAGCTTAGTGTGGTTTATAAGCCATATACCAGAGCAGTGAGGATAAAGTGAGAGAGTGGAGAAGACGAATGTGCCGCCCAAATTTTGGGAGGAAGGATGGGAGAAAAACTATGCAATAGAATAAGCATAAAATAAATCTTTGTGGAAAGAAAATAATATTTGGCCGCATTTTATTTACTAAGGAAGCTTTTTCTGGGCCCTCTTCCTTTCCCTTCCCACAACTGGTGTGCAGTGGGAGGTCTCTAGAAAACTAGGCCTGCTGTACCTCTTAGGAACTGTGGTCTTCTGCCCTTTTTTGCTCAACTGTCCATCACTTTCTCGGTTACTTTTTGACTTCTCATTGAGGCTGCCAGTTCTTCAAAGAGCTGTATTGCAGTGACCTCCATTTTGACTCTGGACTCTGCACAGCCCTGGCAAGAAGCCCTTGTTTGCTCTGTTGGAGGTACCCTGGTGGTCCCCTCCTCTAAAGCAAACACGAGCAGGACAGAGCGATGGGGTGGTGGGAGGCCTCCTGTCCTAATCGCGGCTTCTTCTGGCTGGAACTAGTGCGTCCCTTTTAATTCCAAGCAATTCCCTGTTCTCAGCCGGTGAGTGAAAGTTGCAGTCCCAACTGCTAACCTGAGGATGAAGCTGGGGGCCTCTTAATTACCCCCCCCCCCATTTTCCTCAAAGGGGTTCATGACTGCTATTTGCGGGACTGGACTGGGAACAGAACAAAGGAAACAAGGCTGGAATTCCCAGGCTGCTTGTTTTTGGCAGCCTTTTCTTGCACACATGCGTGGGGGGAAGATACGTTGATGTGGATAGAACAGTCCACTGATTTATTTTCATTGTACAATCTGTTTGAAATCAGTGCCAAAATCTTCTCCCTCCTAGCAGACACAATTCCTAACCAAAGGG